TAATAACATTGGCTAATTGGTGCAGTATTCCCTTCTAGTAGTTCAACAGTCTTTGACAAGGCCTTGAAGATGGCCTCCTCTTCAGAAATTACAAAAGCTACTTCTAGATCCGAATAAACCTGGAAAAAAATTTTGGCTACTCTTCATGTGAAGATTTTGCATGGTAAAAAAGCTAAGGATAAATTCATAAGATGACATCTCAACATTACAGCTTTGTATTCAATTAGATAAATAGAAAGCCTGAGATAGCCAGGTTACGTTGGGGAATTTCTGAATTCAAACTGAAATAACAATACCTTATTTTTCACCAAGCCACATATAATTGCTGCATGGGATGGCAACACAGTTCCTCCAATATATTTGAGGACTCCATTGGAACCTGGAAGGCTGGATAGCTCAAAGTGATCAGATATGTCCAAGAACAAACGAGATCCAATTTCTCTTGTGACATCTAAAAGGTGCACAAAAGCTGAACTAGTAACAGCTTCATAATCAGCAATCCCAGTAACCACCACCTGTGGCTTCAGCTTCCTTATTAGCTCTATCATTAAGTCAGACTGGCGAGGCGCTTCAATAACTGTAAGTACATCCTCTGAAGGATTATCAGTTCCTGCACACTAAGATTCAGAAATAAACGTAGTTATGAAGAATGCCTCAAGTGCAAAAAGATAATAAGTGGAACTGTGGAACTCATTTCCCATGAACACAAGACTACTTTAAACTTTTATCGGAAACTAAAATTATAGATTTGGGTCCTTCTATACTTCATGTTTCTATATCCTCTCAATAGTTTTTAGCCTCAAAGCTCATAATGCCCTGAACCTCTCGGAATACCATATCAGTCACATCTACAACTTCCCACTGTTGATCCAATAAAATTTTAGTTATTCCACTAAACTGCAATCATCATTGTTTTCCCAGGTTGTCACTTTTGGTGTCTAATACATACTTACAAATTTGTATGATAAGGTTACAAGGGCAGACTTTTGGGTTAATATTACACTTAACCACAAAAGTAATAGAGAACAAATTAAAATAGAAGCACCACAACTATCAAAATACCACACCTCAATTGCTAACGATGTTAACCACTCCCTTGGAAGGTGTCGGGTCAGATGTTCATCAACTATTGCAAGACGAGGTGAGAACAGTCGAAGAGCATTTTCTATCGCCACAGCCCTTGAAGGAAAGACAACCACATTCTTGTACAAGAAAAGAGAGAGAACAAGTCAGAATGCACCTTATACTACACAACAGGAAAGGCACAACATGAACTTCTGCAGATTACACTTAAGAATGAAAAATACTTAGATTTCCTTTATTTTTGGTATAATTTATTTCTTTTATTTTGCTACAAAACTTAAGACTTTAAAAGAAGTAAAAGTATGTTTCTAGATAACTCTTGGCTACATCACTTTGAGAGGATCACTATACAGTTTTAAAAACAAATCACAGATAATCTGTGTAATTAAACTGAAAAGGAAAATCACCAGGCCATCTAAACTATCTAATTATTATGACCAATCTTGTGATTATTTGATTAATTTAGATATTTCATATTTTCTCATCCATCAAAGAGCCATATAAAAGTTGGTTAGCGGGGTAATCAGATTTTTCTGGAGCGTTCAGAACTAGGGACACTAAACACAGCCAGTATATTCACAATGGTGATGAGAAAGTTTTGTATTAAAAGCGTGAGGCGTGGGCGAGGCGTCCGAGGGGAAGCCGCGCCTAGGCGTGAGGCGTGAGGCGTGAGGCGAAGCCTCATGGATACCTCATGCATCATACACTTTGTCAAATCAATTAAATTTATACTTGAATACCTCATGCATCTTGAATACCTCATGCATCTTGGATAACTAACATCTTGAATACCTCATGCATCATACACTTTATCAAATCAATTAAATTTATACTTGGGGACAGAGCAAAGGGATACATCACTGTTACTTGTGTAATCTCAATTCTCCAAGCCATAGGGAAAATATTGACCATAAGTATAATTCAATGGCATTCTTCACTTCTAGGATGTAAATTCATGCTAATTTTCACATTGGGATCTATTTGTCACCTGATAAGTCTAATTCAATGGCATTCTTCATTTCATTTTATTATTTTCTATTTTCTGTGATGGTGATAATCATGCAGGTTTGTGAGATCTTCCTACCACTTTTTAGTTAACATGATTTAGTTGAGTAATCAATAACATCTATCACAGAAAAAGTTGATATATGTTTTGTACAAGAGGTTATCATCTTACATCAGCTTTGAGCGGAATGCGGTGATATGTTTTCATAAACCCAGCAATGAGACTACGAAAATGTTTGCTTCCAGCTGGTGGCTCATATGCGCAAAAAGAACCCCCTTTCAGAACACTGGATAGATAAGCTAGGAAGGGAATCTTCTCATCAGCCACAGCATCATCTTCAAATGATAAGTCTAAAGAACTGCTTATATCGTGGAAGCCATTTTCAAGAAACTCAAAAATTGTCTTCACCTGTCAGTTTATTTAATTCAGCATCCATTTAGTTTTCCTATCTTCAGCTGCAATGACATCAACTTTGTTATAATAAATGAACTGCACACCTGATTTGGTTGGCGAAGTTGACAGCTGTATACTGATAAAGCATGAGAGATTCGGCCACCAGCATTTCCATAGGCCCAGGCTGTACGAGCACAAATAGGCTGATCTCCAGAAAGCCCCATAAAGAACTCAAAACGGTGTGGACTGTTCTTTTCAATTTCAACTAAGGCTGATATATCTGTATCTGCAGCCTGTAACAATGCACATTTCAAGAGAACTGCAGAAGTTTGAAGGATAAATTCTTTTCCATAATTAGGTGTATACTTGCCTGGAGAATTTTGGTTTGCCAAAGCTTGTTAACATGGAAACCACGGCGTTCAAACAAGCGCTTACAAACAGCTTGTCCTGGACGACCCCCCATGTTGAAGATCATTATCCCCATAGGTTTAATGACAGCTATTCCTTCCTCCACCGCCCGGGCAATTAGACCTAGGCCAAACTGATCCTCAAGAAAACCCTGCGTAGAAAACAAAAGTTTACATAAAAATACTATTATAGTCTCTAATGATGACTGGACACTGGAATTACTAGAAATCAGTTGGCCAGTTGTCACAAGGCCATACTACATTTCATTAGCAAACAGTTTCCATGTGTAACTAGAAAAACTAATTATGATAATATCTATGTAGCACTGGATGCCTCTTAAGATACAAATTATACAATCAATGCAGAACACACTATCAAGGTTCCGTCCTAACCTGAAGTGCACAATAATTGCTCAACGAGTGTAGAAATTCCTCACTTGCATTCTCGGTAATCATTTTAGACATAGCATCTGGATTTGGGTTAAGAATCTGCAAGAACCCAAACAAGGAAAATGAACGAGGAGTCAAATGATTATTCACATGAGGAACCTTCAAAATGGACATTAGACGAACTAACTTTATCTTATTGTAATTGTCGACAATACCTGAGGTATGCATCCAACAATTCGTTCTAGTTGAATGTCATTATCTCTACAATAAGATAGCAGATCCGATTCATGAAACTCTACCCTGTCCAGCAAACTTTTCTTCTCAGCATCATAGATGGGTTGACCTTTTTCGTCCAAAGCATTTAAGTACAAGTTTATCCATGACATCTTTACTGCTCTAGGATTGATATCAAGGCCGTACACCTGAAAAGGGTAGTTTCTTCATCATTCAGAGAATCAGGAAAGGTTGAAATGTGAACAGAATAAAGACTAATAACATGCATGGTAAAGTAGGACAAACAAAAACCAAAACTACCTTTGATGGCAACCACTTCTCAGCAATGGCAATGGATATCCAACCATTTCCACAACCAAGCTCAGCAACTGACTTGTCCTTGAAGATAGAATCGGAATGTCTGTTTAGTCCTTCAAAAAAAGTAAAGGACCAGTCTTCTGGAACAAAAATACTGGGGATAACCATCATCGTCAATTTCTTCCTACCCTGGTGACCTGTAGTAGCCCAATAACAGGTTCAGACCAGCTGATTCAACCACCATGGCAAGCAAACAATTGTGCGGCCATTAATAATTCTATAATGCCCCCACCCCACGTTCGACCGTCCGAAACAGGGCCGTATGGAGTACAGCCAACAAGAAGCGTAAATCCATCCATGATTTCAGATTATCATTCGGAAACCACAATATTCAATTGCGATATCCCCATCGTATGCTACAGTTTATTTGTTCAGAACTGTCCTGTTACACTGTAATCTTATGAAACTTCGGATCATCTGAACCTTTGGAGAGGCAATAAGAGCATTGCATGTACACTGTTTTCTAAGGAGCTTTTTCTGCGGGTTTCTAGAAACTGTATTAGGAGTTCATTCCTAGCTAATTGCCTATGATAATGATCTTGAAATTAAAATCATATCCTATTATCCAGGTTTCACGCTACCGCATTAGGGCTTTGTTCTTATTTTGTACTTTTTCTTTTGGATAATATTCATATCCTTGCTTGGGAATTCCTGGTTGGACTTGGTATAGTTCTCAAATCGAAAATTGATATGAATATCATGCAAAAGAAAAAGAACAAAAATAAGTACAAAGATGATTATAATGATGTTGGGAAAATGTAAACAGTATAATATAAATAAAAGGCGAGGATCTGAACAACGGGTGCAGGTTTAAATGAAGGGTAAATTTGGAATTATAGAAGAAAATTTTGATTATGGGGTGTTAATAAAAAAAACCCTTCAATTTTCCATTTCCTACATTATCTGGGTGACCAAACAGAATCGATACTGAATGAGAGAGGGAGAGAGACCTTCATACTGATCGAAGAAGATGTCTTCAATCTGAAAATGGTAGGTGCGAAAACATTGATCGCAGGACTCCTTGGAGGGGAAGCGGTTCTGGAGGTCCGTGAGGAAGATCCGAGCTTGAGTTCGGGTTTTTGGATCCTCGAGACGCTCCAGCACTGATCTCAAGGCGGCGTATGCGGCATCTCCCGACTGCCGACACCGCTTCAAGAAGTCGTCCACCGATTCCAACGAAGCCTCGTTCTTCGCCATTCACTCACTCTGTCACTCACACGATGATTCAGGCAAGCCAAGTGATGAGGGTTCTCTTGTTCTTCTTCTGTAGAGGAACAGAGAGAGAGAGAGCGTATGAAGATAGATAAAGAGCGAGACAAGGAGGAGAGTGGGCTTTGGAATTTGGTTGTTTATTGTTAAAAGAAAAAAAAGGCCAGGCGGCAAGGAGAAGGTTTGTTCCCGGTTGTTTCGTTTCATTTTTATTATTAATTCCTTTCTTTAAAAAATAATTTCTTAGTTTCTTTGGTGAGGTCAAGATATTTTTCCATTTATAATAATTTGTTTTAGGGAAAAATCGAACATTGTTGTAGACCTATTTGACTAAACTGTATTTAAGATAAAGAGGGAGAGGAGCCGGTGGCAAGAGAGAAATGTAATTCTAAGGTGTGTGTTGTATCACCCTGCCTGTATTTATAGTAGTAGAATAAGTTAAATACTTACCTTAATAAGATTACAACTCTAATAGGAAGATACTCTTAGATACACTAGGATTTACACAATCACATTCCTAATCCAATAGGACTGCAACATTCTCCTTTAAGTGTGTAAATACTCAAATAAAACGTCGCATCAAATCTTTAGCAGATGAGGTAGAACGGTTGATGAAGTTGTCGACACTACGAGTGAATGTGAGTCTCAAATTTAAAAAAAAGTATGCATAGGTAGTAAAACTCACAAAACTCTTCTTATGGTAAAGCCTAAGGTAGGTAAACTAAGGAGAAAAGTGAGAAGTATGCATAATGTCTAAAACAAACGTCAAAGAGGACAAAAGTAGTGAACTCAACGGAGTATGATCATCCCAGAATGGTTGCCTCATTAAAACCTCGTTAGGTAGCAAAAACCTAGTGGGAAAAATGCTCCTAATTGTAGGAAAAAGAGTATATTAAGATCAAGTGAGTATGCGTCTGGAAACTCTCCCTAAGTTCGACATAACTTCCAAATAAGAGAACTACAAGCAATTCAACTGAGACAATTTACGCATACCGATTCCTAGGACGAGCTTATGAAAAGTAGACTTGGGCAATAACTTGGTAAAGAGATCAGCCAAGTTGTCTTGGGAATAGATTTGCTTGACTTCAATGTTATGATGTTGTTGTTGCAGGTGAAAATAAAAGAACTTCAGCGATATGTGCTTGGTGTTGTCTCCTTTGATGTATCCCTTATTTAACTGCTTAATACATGCTGCATTGTCTTCAAAGATCGTTGTAGGAAGGTCAACGATGAAAGTAAAACCACTAGTGCTTCGAATATGTTCCATAACTGCTCTCAACCAAAAACACTCAAGCGAGGCCTCGTGCAAGGCGAGAATCTTAGCATGGTTTGAAGAAGTTGCAACTAGCGTTTGCTTGGTAAACCTCCAAGATATAGAGGTGTCTCCAACAGTAAAGACATAGCCTCTTTGAGAACGTGCCCTATGTGGGTCAGACAAATAACCAATATCTATGTAACTAACAAGGCGGGAATCAACCTAAGGACTGAGGGGGCAGCGATTCCTCTCGAGGATTCATGGGTGTAGAACAAGCCCAAATTCGTCGTACTTTTGAGGTATCGAAAAATGTCTTTAACACCATTCCAATGTTTGCGTGTAAGCGCATTGTTGTATCTAGCCAAAAGATTAACAACGAAGGAGATGTCGAGTCTAGTGTATTGAGCCAAGTATAATAAAGCACCAATTGCACTTAAGTATGGAACTTCTGGCTCTAAAATATCTTCCTCATCTTTCTTGGGACGGAAAGGATCTCGTTTAGCAACTAGAGTTCGAATGACCATAAGAGTACTCGAATGCTTCGCTTTATCTTCATTAAAAGGTTGCAACACCTTTTAGGTGTAGTTCAATTGATGTACTAGGATTCCATCTGAATAATGTTCGATCTCCAGGCCGAGACAATATCAAGTTTTTCCAAGATCTTTCATCTCAAATTCCGATTTTAAGTGAACGACAATTTCCTCAAGCTCTCCAGGAGTCTCGATAAGGTTTATGTCGTGGACATAAATTGCAATGACCGCAAATCCGGAATGTGACTTCTTAATGAACACGCATGGACATAGTTCGTTGTTCACATAACCCTTACTTATCAAATATTCACTCAGACGGTTATACCATATCCGCTCGTATTATTTCAATCTGTATAATGATCTCCTCAATCTAATCGAGATAGTGTTCCGTGGTCTAGAACTATTTGAACTAGTAAATGGAAGTCTTTCTGGAACTTTCATGTAGAATTTCGTATCTAGATAAGGTAGTGTTCCGTGGTCATAGAGATACGCAGTTACCACGTCTGTAAGCTGCATAGTCAGTTTTTCGAAAACTACCAAATTGATAAGGTAGCAGAATGTTGTGACGTCCATTACGGGGGAATATGTATCCTCGTAATCAATTTTATGGCGTTGAGAGAAGTCTTGCGCTACGAGGCATGCTTTGTATTGCACTATTTCATTCCTTTTATTACGCTTCCTTACAAAAAACCCATTTGGAGCCCACAGGCATTATATGTGGTGGAGTAGAAGCTATATGCCAAAACACCTTACGTTTTGCAAGCGAATCGAGTTCGACCTGGATTGCTTGTTTCCAGTTTAACTAATCTTTTCTACGTCGACATTCATCAACGGAACGTGGTTCAATGTCATCGCTAAGTCTGATGTCAGAAGTAACTGTATAAGTAAATGCATCATCGACAATCATATTATTCTGATTTCAAACCTCATAAAAAATTGCATAATGGACCGAAATCTCACGATTCTTTGGAGGTTGGGTTGTCTCATCTAAGACATCACTGTAATCTATAATAACCTCATGCATTGGAACAGATGAGTAAGCAATGGTCGGATCAGACTAGGTTTACTAGTTTATGCCGTTTTCCTCTTCTAGAGTTGTGAATCCTTTGAACCAGGAGGTCTGCCACGCTTCAGGGTAGGAAAAGATGATTGGTTAGTTGCCAGTATACCAGGCCATGTGGGAGGTACGACCGCCCCACCCTCGGGGACGGTCCGACCTTTCAAGGCGATGGTACGACGTACGTTAAGTACGTTCATCTTTGCATGTGCGTTTGCAGTAGGTATATGTCATATCGTCACCTTAGCTAGATCAGTAAAAGCATTTGGCATGTTTTGAGCAATGTTCTGAAGATCTAGAATACGTCGCACTTCAATTTCAGACTGAGGGGTGCATGGATCTAAACATAGTGGGAGTTATCCACGACAATTTGCGACGTTCTACAAGAATGTTAGTGATCTTATCTCTCCTTAATGATGGGAAGACTGTTTCATCAAAGTGACAATTCACAAAACTTGCAATAAAGAGATCTTCTGTCAAGGGTTCTAAGCAAAGAATAATGGATGGTGAATCATAATTGACATAAATCCTATTTTTCTTTGATGACCTATTTTGGTACATAGTGGCGGCGCTATTGACATATAGACTGCACACCCAAACACACATAAATGCGAGACGTTAGGCTCGTATCCAATAACCAAATGTAATGATGAATGAGGTTGGGTAGCGGTTGGCCTCAGGCAAACCCACATGGTTGTGTGCAATATTGCATGGCCCCAAACAGATACCGGTAAGTTGGTTCGCATAACCAAAGTCTAAGCTATCGTTTGAAGGCGCTTTATGAAAGCTTCTGCCAAACTGTTGTGGGTGTGAACATGGGGTACATGATGTTCAACTTCAATCCCAACAGACATGCAATAATCGTCAAAAGTTTGTGACGTAAACTCTCTAGCATTATCTAGGAGTTTCGCAAATACAACATTGCGTGTGGACAATAAGTAAACATGTGACCATCACGTTGATGCATCAACTAACACCATGAAGTATCTAACTGGTCCGCACTGGTTGGATAAGTCCACAAATATCCCCTTGAATCTTCTGAAGAAACTTAGGGGGGATCATGAATAATCTTTATAAGTGAGGGTTGAATGTTCAACTTTCCCAGGGAGCATGCTTTGCAAAACCGATGGTCGGGATAAGATTTTATGTGATGCCCATGAAATACTTTGAGGATACGACGCATCATATCTCATCTGGGGTGTCTTATTTGATCATGCCAAACATGAGAGTGCTCTGGAACCCAGCCATAGGGTAAGCCACGTGATGGGTCTCAATGGCTCGAATGGTTGTTATGTACAACCCACTTGGGAGACGTTGCGACTTCTCATAAATACGTTTTCGACCATATTCGTAAAAAGTGATACAAAGAAATTTAGAACCATTCTCTTAAGTGGTTTCAACATGATATTGATCATCTCGAATATCTCTAAAACTCAGCAACGTTCTGTTGGAACGTGGAGAATAGAGTGTCTCTTTAATGGATAATTGAATACCATTGGACAACATAATATGGGCCTTTCCGTATCTTTCTATCATGTTGGATGGGCCTGAGAGGGTTATCAGAGGTGCATTCTTAGGTAAGAAGTTAGTTAAATAGTGTTTCTCACGCAATATGGTGTGCATGGTGGCATTATTAGTCAGACAACTAACTTCCTCACTCGTCATACCTAGAAATAAATTAATTGAATCAGTCACATGCATAAATATAATTCCATTCATTCAATTAATCAATTCGAGAAATAATGTCCATAATAATAATCCATAATTGAAAACAAACCAATCCAAACAAATAATTCCACAGATTTAGAAAAATTGTCCAAAAATTAAACCATAAACCTAAATTTTTTTTAGGGGTTTTGGCCATTAGGGGTGTAAAAACACCCTAACATGTCTCAGAAAAATAAAACTTTATTCTTCCATAAGAGCGGATGCCTCCTTAAAATATGAAACCTCTAGAGTTTTGATAGCATCTTCGGGATGTTCTACATGCACAAAGTTAGCCTCACGACGGGAATGATACTTGGCAATGGCCTTGGGAGTAGCTCGGCATACACGGGACCAATGATCATTTGATCCACAGCGGTAGCACATGTCCATTTTAGTGGAAGCTGATTGAACAGTAGTTTTTCCTTTGTTCTTGAAGTTTGGGGCCTTAGGGGCAAGGGTGTAACATCCCACATCGCCCAAGGGAGTTGATCCTGTAAGTCTTATATGTATATTCTCATCTTTACCTAGCACGTGGCCTTTTAGGAACTCATTAGCTTTGGGTTACATCGGAACTTCGAAGTTAAGCAAGTTCGGGCGAGAGCATTCCCAGGATGGGTGACCCACTGGGAAGTTCTCGTGTGAGTTCCCAGAAACAAAACCATGAGGGCATGGTCGGGGCCTAAAGCAGACAAATCGTGCTACGGTGAAGTCGAGCCCAAGATGTGGTGAGGGCCTAAGGCGGGATGTGACAATTTGGTATCATAGCCAATCTCTGGCCGGAAGTGTGCCGACAAGGATGTCAGGCCCCTAAAAGGGGTGGATTGTAACATCCCACATCGCCCAAAGGGGTGGATCCTGTAAGTCTTATATGTATATTCCTATCTCTATCTAGCACGAGGTTTTTTGGGAACTCATTAACTTCAGATTCCATTGGAACTCCGAAGTTAAGCGAGTTCGGATGAGAACATTCCTAGGATGGGTGACCCACTGGGAAGTTCTCGTGTAAGTTTCCAGAAACAAAACCATGAGGGCGTGGTTGGGGCCAAAAGCGGATAATATCGTGCTACGATGGAGTCGAGCCGAGGATATGGTGGGGGGCCGGGTCGGGATGTGACAAAGGGGTTGGTTTTTATGGGTCAAATTTCCTCACTAGGGTGGCCCTCTGTTTTGTGGACCTTGGGCCCGTAGTGGAGCTTGCTGCCCTTTTTCATGATCATGACGAGCTTTCCGTCAGTTGTGGCTGCTAAAATTAGTCGCATGCGCTTCAGGCGGAGTGTTCGAGCCAGTGGGTCGAGCTTGATGATTTTTCATCAAAAGCTGGTTCTACTTTTCAGCGAGAAGTAAAACAGATATCAAATCCAAAAATTTGGTGAACTTTTGTGCCCTATATTGTTGTTGTAGGACAATATTGGTGGCATTGAAGATCAAATAAGTCTTCTCTAAGATATCCTATTCGGTTAAGTCATTTTTACAGAACTTAAGTAGTGATCAGATTCTATAAACTTTAGAGTTGTATTCATTCACAGACTTACAGTTTTGGAAGCGTAAATGATGTCAATCATGTCTTGCATCAGGCAAGCAAATGTCTTTTTGGTGATCGAATCAATCGACCAGAGCGAGCCAGAGGGTACTTGGATCCTTTCCTGTGATGATCCGTCCCTAATTTTCACTGTAATTTCCTTTTTGTTTGTGTAATTTGACATTTTTACCTTTTTTGGGGAAAAGTGTAATCTGACGTGGACTTTGTTTTCGGCTGTTGTTTCATTTCCTAGTTTCGTACTTAAATTGTACTTGTCATTACAAACGCGTGAGCGCGTGTTAGACTCGAATCAAATCTGTAACAAAAAAAAAGTTACACTTCATTACAGTACAATAACCACGGGTATTTTGTACACGTACGTACAAATTATCAGTGTTTGAAACACTATAAGAAATCAGATTTTATATCCCTAAAAAGTGGATCTGTGTCTCCCAATCAACAACAAATTAAATTTGCTTTCCACCAATCATTCCCATCCATTAATTTTCCCTGTTTCTATCTTCACCACCCATTTAGATTTTTCCTTCTTTTACACAACCAATCAATGAGTTGCACACTCACACCAGTCACAAATCAATTTTCAGAATTCACTCTCTCTCCCCGAAGGACTCTCTCCTCGCTCTCACTCTACAACTCACTCATGTGAGCACTAAACCTCACAAACGTGACCTGAAAACTACATGGTTGATCTCCCTTCACCACTACGAAGACAACCGTGTAACCAGATAGTGATTTGACTGGGTTTTGGATGTCGAACTTGGTGAGTTTGGGTTCAATGAATTTCAGGCTGAGTCAAGGAGTTTTGAAGGTTGGGGAAGCTTTCTTACAACTCCCCAAGGCTCCTAGGACAAGTTTGAGGAAACTTTGACGAGAAACAACCCATTTTCGAGAAGTTCCAGTTTTGACTGTGCCTTTCGAGGCCTTTTCAGGCCACCTCCATCCACTTTTTGGACTTCCAAGAGGTATAATCTTGTTCTACTCCTCATAAGCTTCATTTCCATATAAATTTTGTGAAAAATGGTTGAGAAATAAGCAAATTGTGAAGTTTGGAAAAATTTCCCAAAAACTGGCGACATTTTCCAGAATCCAACGAGTTTAGACGGCGGCGACCTGCGAGGACCACCGGAGAAGACGACAGAATATTCCGTCAACTCTGACGGAATATCCTAACAACATTAGCTAACGACGTTATTATTTAACGGAATATTCTTAACGGCCGTTAGGGCCTTCGTCAGCCTCTACCTGCATGTAGTGGCATGTATGGTCTTGCCCTAGGCGGCGCATGAGGGTGCGTCCGACCTCCGTTTTACCTTCTGTTAATTTATGTAGGTCCGCGACGTCAATTATTCGATTTCGTATATTTAAACCCTAGGTTTGAGCAAACTATGGGGGTTTTATTTAAGTTTCTGCATATGTGTTATCAATTAATTTAAAATAGTTATTTCACATATAGGGAAAACGTATCCCTATGACGTATGGGGTCAGGTAAGGCTCGGAGGCTATAATCCGACGATGTATTTGTGAGTGGGCAGTTTGTTTTTATATCTATACATAGTTATAGTTTCCATAAATGCGTATTTACTCCATTTTTTACGCTTATGTTGCCAAGTATCGTTATTGTGATATTAAATGTGATAAATGTTGCTATATGGTTGGGATATTACTGTCATGACATTTATACATATTTGCACATGCTTATCATTGCTGCACCCCGGTGTTAGTACTCGCCCCAGGGCCAGGGACAGTCCTTCATGTGTATGTACACATCGGCACCGTTTGCTCGCCTTGGATCCAAGTTAGGTGCTAGTCCTGTCTTACAAATTGCATTAGGCAATTTTGACTCGTATGTGACCATGCTTCGGCACTAGCCTTCACGTGATCATAGTACTAGAGCGTATTGATTACACCTAGTCCTGTTCGTGTTAGAAATTATCTGTACTAATTTGTGTGTCAGCTTAGATGAATGAGCACTTGTTTATACTTGATTATCACATGATTATATTACTGCGGCATTAGATATATCATGACTTGGCATATTTATGGTTATTTTGCTGTTGTACTTTTATTTACATACTTACGTAGTATGTTTTACGGAAACTATACTTGTTTTCCAGCGAGGGGTTATTATGTTCGAAAATAAAGGTTTTTCTTACAAACATTGTTTTGCTGACCCACTTAACTTTGTTTTTCGCCCCTCTAGGACCTAGGTAGCTGTACACTTTGTGGCATTCTAGGAACCTCCGACAGTTCTGATATTAGCTTTGTTTAAAAGTATGAACTTATCCACTGTTGTGTAATAAGTTTACTTTAACCACTTTGACTACTTTACTGTAGATCCTGTTTGTACGGAGCCTCGGGATCAATTAATCATAATCGTTCACCATAGATCGAACGGCTACGATTCCACCAACCTCCTGTTCACTGCCTTCTCTCTTTCTTCTTTCAATGCTTGTCTTCTATTGTTCCCAAATGGAACGAGTTCACGACAAAGGCATGTTATCAACTCGGCGTAAACTCAATTGGCACATGGAACAAGTTTGCGACAGATGTGCTTCAGTGCATGATGAGCGAGCAGATCGGAGACGACATTTGTCGGGCAAAACCGTGGGGAAGAGAAAGGCGGTGGATGTGACACTGCATCCATGGATTTTGGAGGTCCTTCAGCTGCGACGGCACGCTTAGATGCTGTGTTTTTTTTCACCATTCAATCTGTGTTGAATGACCAGGATCAATGGATCCCGAGGGTCCGCACAAACAGGATCCAGAGAGGATCTTCTTCCCCATACGAGCCATTAAGTTTTGTTAATAGCTCTCATGAGAAATAAGTTTTGTTAATAGCTTTCATGAAAAATAAACAACGGAGACGGAGTAATGACAGAAGACATTTATGTTGTTAGACTTTGTTTCAACCAATCTCAAGATTGTTGCAAATACATACGGTGCTGCTTGCTGCTTGGCTGAGCCTCAGAGCCTCAGAGCCTCAGGTGTATTGTCAGTAATAGGAATGCTAAGTTCAAGTAGATTTGTCTCTCAGTTGGGTAGAGTAGAGTAGAGACGAAAATGAAGAATTATAACTTACCCTATTTCTCTGCTTCCAAATTTGCAAACAGACTGTAAAAGTCCCTTTCAAGTTATGACTGCATAAAAGGGGAAAAATAATCTAGGCAATACGATGGTCACGCGAAAAAAAAGAAAGAAACACAGAAGATGTCTTACCAACTTGTATCCAAACATTTTGTGAAAAATGCAATGACCAAAAAAGTGTTTGAAATCTTTGATGCGCTTCTTAGTTTCTGCCCCTAATGATCCTTGCTTTACGCCATGAACAGACACAAAACTTTCCCGTGTTGTTAAAAAAGGAAAAGGCCAGTGACACCATTTGAAACACTAAGGGCTTGTTTTCATAATCTCATTATTAATTGAACGTAGACATGGCTACTTAGTCAAAAGGCTTGGGTTTCATATCTGGTTACCATCCAAGAAGGCAAGAAGACCCTCCGCTCTTCAGTCTTCATAAGCAATTTGACTCCCAAAGGCTGCATTAGGAACCGTGGCAATGACCACACTCACAACCATAACCAAATTTAATTATAGGCCTAAAATGAATTTAGTTTAGAAGTTGAAAAATGCAATTCAAAGGAATATACGAATAGAAACAAAACACAAACTTTAAATGATGCAATCTTCAAATATAAGACATTCTGGGAGTAGCGACAACACATTAAAACTCTGCACAAATAAAACTTACAGCCTTCAAGTTTGTTAAGGCCCTAGTGAAGTGAAAACATTTTATTCAAACATCAAGCAGAAAAGGGCACAGAAATATAAGAAACTCCACAACTTTTTCCTCCTGCTGACTCCTGTTGACCACGAGCACCCATCTGCAAGATCAGCTAACTATCAAATAAAAACATAAAAGGACCATACATATTTTTGGAAGAGTTCTTCTATTTAAACACCACTTCTGATCTAAGTTCACCCCGATTTCTATTTACATCCCATTAAACACCAAATCACACCCACCAACATATCAACAGACACCCCCACCAAGCTTTCATTAAATGGAACCTAAGAAGACAATTTATTGTGTTCAGTTTTAGTTGTGGATGTCGATATCAATATGACACCCTAAGTTTATTATGGAGTCATCAATACTATTTCAAACAAAGAATCCAAGCAGGGAACAAAAGATTAAGTTGCTCAGGCTGCCTTCTATAAGGCCATTGCAAGTCTGAGCGTTGAATTAACAGAACCCTAAAGAACCCAAAACCCTCGTTAGATATATACCTAAATTTTACGTTATGATCCCCAATCAACAAGAGTATACGTATAGCATCATCATCATATTGTGCCAATCGACCAATCGACTGCTGGAGTTGGAGCCGATGGCAGCACTGCCGTCGCCATTGGGACTTTGTGGGCTAGTTTGTGGTGCCGTTTGGGTGGATGTGCATTGGACGAGTGTTTTTCTTTGTTCTCAATATGTCCAATACAGTCCTATATAGTCTTTTTTGCACAATTAAAATGTTTTAAACATTTTTTGAGTTAAACTGTAGTGAACTCAGAAAAAAGTGGTGTTTAATAGCAAAACTCTTTGGAATGCAGGAGAGAAAAAAAATACATTCTGTCTCAACTTTAGCTTGCGAGCACTAGCCTTATCAGGTTTCAATTAAAATACCTGGACACCAATTTAGTTTTACATATAAAGTGCTAGTCCAGACTTATAAGGGGCAAATTTCAGTCAAAGAATATGAAATTTTCATGTTAAGAAGTTATGTATTGCCACTAAAAGGAAGCTAAACAAACTTCCACTAAAACTAACAAGTTGCAAGATTCACAACCACAAAAACTAACAAACCAATGCAGAGGAATCCTAATCAAATTGCCACTAAAAGGAAGCTAAACAAATTTCCCGAGAGATGACAACAATCTCTGCACCTGCCCGTTGGTAAGTAGTTTGTTTAATCTCAAGTATGCGTATGCATACACTACATAATCATATGTGTATGCATACCATCTTTCCTACAAGGTTACAAGTAGTTGTTTCCCATTTCAAAGTTCAACTGAAAGTCCCACATACATATAAGACCACTTAAAAGACCACAACTACAAAACAAACACGAAAAGATTGGCATCTATGACTTGAAAAGTAATGTAGGGCAATAACGAAAACCCAAATGGACAATGATCCCGTAAATACATTGTATTCAAATCTAAGTACCAATTTGATGAACACTGCAATGTAAATATGAAAGATTTAATTTTTGATTTGGAATTAAAACCTAGAAATTAGAAACGACTGCTATATGGAATCATTGATTCCATTTTCAGCTGGAATCCCTAACAAACAAAAAGAAACCCTAATTGATAACTTAAAAAAGAAAAAGGTTGGATCTTGGAGACTGACCTGACCTGACCTGCTGAATTCTCTTTCTTCAGTGAGTAGCGGCGGTTGAAGTGACGGAATGAGAGTGGGCGTGATGAGAGGAGGAGGAGGAGGAGGAGTGGGATGGAGCGATGAGGCGGTCGTAGACCTGCTCGCCGACGAGGTAGACGCCGAATGCAACGAGAGCGATGCCGAGGCCGGGCGTGGCGTGGCGGAGCTGATTGGAGAGCATCGGATGCTTCCTCCACTCGTCCCTCCTCCTGAAGAACTCCCCTGTCGTCCCCAGCGCCTTCTTACCCGCACCCATTTCTGTAACTCTCTCGATTGATTGATTGATTGATTGATTGCCCCTTCGTCTTCTTTCTTGTTTGTTATTCTGTTTTATGAGAATTTCTCACTTGACTTGGGTTGTCTCATCATTTTTGTCGTAGGGTGGGTAGGGGTGGGCTTAGTTTGGGCTTAATATGATGAAATACTGGGACTTGATGGAGGCCCATTAGTGATCATTAATCTACCAACGGACCCGCCGTATGTAAATACACAGTAATTCTGTTTCTGGTTGAGGAGTAAAAAAAAAAAAAGAAACAAAGAAAGAAATAATACAGGAAGCGATGAGTGGTGTTTTTGTCTCCAGGTTGAGGGAATATACAGACAGAATCCTCCTCATCTCTTGTGTTGAATAAAATAGAGAGAGGTGCTGCAGAGACAGAGAGGCACAGGGAAGGAAGGAAGGAAGGGTGAGGTTTTGAGGTCTGTGGGTTGAGACATGGACGTCCTCAGTCTCAAAGTGTCTTCCTCAGCGGCCTTTTCAAATGATAACCTCCGAATCCCACCACTTTCAAAGTCATCAGCAGCAGCAGGAGGAGGCCTTAGACGCAGACTTGCAGCAGCAGGCATTGGGAATGCAGGCAAAGCTCTTGTCTTTTTTATCTCATTAAATTACTCATTTCAAATTCATTGATTCAAACATTTGTTTTGTATGCTCAATTGCTTAATAATTAATTAATTAGCTATATGCTTGCATGCTTCTATTCTCTCAGGCAAACAATTCAGTTTCAGTTTCAGGCACAAGGCTAAGGCTAAGGCCCTGCATACTAGAATCTCTGCAAAAGTTGCCAATGAAGATGTAAAATCTTCATATTTCCCTTTCTTTTTTGTTCAATTATCACCACCACTTTTGTAAATGGTTTACTTGATAATGCAGAAACCAGAGTCTAGATCAACAGTGAAAGAGAAGAGCGTGTCGGTGATTCTTTTGGCTGGAGGGCAGGGCAAAAGGATGGGTGTAAGTTCTTCACATTCCCCATTTACATCGTCAGATTCTCTTTCTTCATCTGCATTTTCCTTCATAATGCATATGGATGAAATAGAATCCCCATCACCTTCATCTATGGATTTGTTGTCATTCTAGTCCCACAAGATGATCATGTTTTCTCGTTATGTTTGTGCTACTAGGCCACCATGCCAAAGCAATATCTTCCCCTTTTAGGCCAGCCAATTGCTTTATACAGGTAACTGACTCACACTCTCTCAGTCAAAGCACTTGGGGAACTTTTCTAATTTTAGGACACAACTTATCAAACCAGCTACAATGCGTTATTTTATTTAATTAGCTGAATGTCTATCTAGTTCATTATAATGATGAATAAGCACTTTCGGTATGTAACTTTAGAAGGATTATAAAATGAATGAACCTTGGTGCTTTGGACTATTTGGCTGCAAGACCCAGTTGCTTGGAGATGCCAAAATACCGACAATGCCAAGTTTGAGTTGGTGGATTATTGGATGCCAATTTCTAGACACAGTTGCTCTTTTGTGACTGAAACCTGACCTCTTTGGGTCTTTATAGTTCTAGTTGCAATAGTCCTTTTCAGATTCTCGTGTAGGTTTTTTATTCATGTCTCGTGGAAATATTAATTGACTTTCTACTCTCTTATTTTTTTTTCCGGGGATACATATCTTATGCTCTTCTGAATGATATTTCGGACTCCATGCAGCTTCTACACTTTCTCCCAAATGATTGAAGTAAAGGAAATAATTGTGGTTTGTGATCCCTCCTACAAGGATGTTTTTGAAGGTTATAATCCTTGCTCTCTAGCCCTCCTTGTAAATGCATTGCCTCTTGGCTTGGACATGCTTTATATATTCAGTGTAGTGATGCAGGAGACATTTAAACTAATTTGGTTGGTCATGTTCTCAGACGCCAAACATAAGATCCAGAAGGAACTTAAATTCACACTACCAGGGAAGGAAAGACAAGATTCGGTTTACAGTGGGCTCCAGGTGCACAGAGATTCCTTCTTTTCCATTGTTAATCAAGAATTAAAAAACCTCTTTCATTTTGTAAAGGCCTCTCAGTTGTTGCCAAAAGCTCTTTGTAGAAACACAAAATCTATCTGATTTAAAATTATAATGAAGTCTTGGCTCTGCTTTATCTCAATGTCTGTTGCATTACCTTACTTGATATATGAAACTGAGAAGGCTGTCTATTGTTCTTTTCGGGACAATGCTTCTGTAATGAAACTTTGGTTCAATCATTGAAGTTTGTTGAAAGTTTTCTTCTCAGTAGGAACTAGGAATGCAACTTTATCCTATTTTGCAGGATGCATTTTTACTTTAATCCCTAAGCCTCAGTGTGAGAAATGTGAGATTGGTATAGGTAGCCCGGAGCCTGAATTTAACTTTTCTAGATGAATTTTGAAATCTTCTTCAAGAGCAACCAAAAAATCCTTCTGGAAAGACACTCTCTGGAGTGAAAGTGCCATTAGACCTATTCCCTATTTTTTATTTTGAAGTTTGTTTGTTGTTGTTATGAACAGATATTCTTCCATTTTTCTGTATTTGTCTTGCACTTTGTAACCGGCTAGTAACAAGACAGAAGCCAATGATTCTGCATTTCTCACATTGATATATTCAATTGTATTGATCGTTTGGTGCTTTTTTATTTTTATTTTAATTATGAAGCTGATGTATGACAATTATTGGGAGCATAAACTTATCTTTGTATGATTGAATACAATTCTTCTGTGGACAGGCAATTGATTTGACCTCGGAGCTTGTTTGTATCCATGATTCTGCTAGACCTCTGGTATCATCAGGAGATGTAGCGAAGGTTTGAGATGCAGATTTCTTTCCCTGCTTATCTAGCGCATTGGCTTTTATTGTCTGTTGGCTATACGTACTTAATGGTGCATTGGCTTTCATTATGTAGTGTACTATGTTCTTGTGCATTCCTTCTGGATTATGGTAAAAAATTCATTCATCTCAGTTATTTCATAACAAGAAAAAGACGAAAACAGAGGATCTGTTGAATTTCAAATAGTTAGTTTCACCAATAGGATACGAAGACTTACTTGTCACAGTTGGCCGTTTCCTTACACAGTCTGAGTGGGGGAGTCAATATGTCCAGTCATAGTTGGTCTCTCTCAAAAATAAATGAAGAAGAATAAAAGAAATGGAAATTTAATTGTGGGTTCGAGTTGCTAGATTTAGGCATTTATATATATGGTAAAACATTTAATTTATGTATGGTTGTTTATCTGTTTGTATTCTTAAGTCGGACTCTTCCGTTGGCTATTTAAAAGAATGATTAGAGTTGGAACTGTATGCTTTTAGGTTCTCAAAGATGGTTGCTTAAATGGTGCAGCCGTACTTGGTGTTCCAGTAAAAGCTACAATCAAAGAGGTACTACCTTCAGTTTAGTAATATTTATGCTAAAGCTGTGTCCGTTTAGTATTTCCTTGGTTTCTTTTCAGTGAAACACATTAATCGGTATCTTGCAGCTCCTAGTTTCATGCTTCCTTGTAGTTCAGTTGTATCAAAGGATATTATGTTTTTTTACTCAACAGTTCAACTCCACATTTGACATAGTAGTGTGACATAGACCTTACAGAAGATTCTTTCAACTAGTGGTAGTTTTCTGCTCCCATCTTTTATCACCAAGTTACGATGCTCCACTCCTCGGAGGATCGCCATTAATTGACTTTGAAATGATCTTCCTTGACTCTGTGATGGCCATTACTTCAAGACCACATAAATAATACAATGTCTAAATTTTGGAAAGCGCACTTTGGAAATGTATGGAATTGCAATCATAATTGGGGGTAGCACAGCCTTTTGTTTTATTGTTGCTTTCCAGTCTAACTACGCATTGCTAGACCAATGAGCAATTTGCCATGTCAGTGCTCCAAATAACTCGACTTTCGTCAATCGATTAGATTGAACCAAAACTTGATGAGCTTATCCGTGTGCTTTATTTTTCTTTTCCATTTTTATATGCAGGCAAACAGTGAGTCTTTTGTAGTCAAAACCCTTGACAGGAGAACGCTTTGGGAAATGCAGACACCCCAGGTTTGCTCCTCAACTTATATATCTTAGTTGATCATTTGAGGAACTAATTTAGAATGCTGATCAATTCCTACAGGTGATCAAACCTCAGTTGCTCAGAGAGGGTTTTGAGCTTGTCAATAGGTACTAACTACAAACTAATTCACGGTGCACAATTTAGTCGCATACTGATTGTTAAAGAATGCAAAACTAGCGTAATGAGTCCATGTTGATAAATGTTGAGGCACTGAGTAAATGAGAGCGTTCCCTTAAGAGGCTGATGCTTGTTGTTTATGTTATTTTGAAATTGTCGTCGGTGTACGAGTGAAACATAATATTCTGTTGGCCATCTATGATTTTCTCGATATTTCACTTTTTTTTTTCATGTGGGCTCCTAATCAGAATTTACAAGTATCCTTGTCCTTCAAGTTAAATATGATTGGTATACAAATCCTGAACAAATTGTGCTTCCCACAGAGAAGGGCTTGAAGTGACTGACGATGTGTCTATTGTTGAGCACCTTAAGCATCCCGTGTACATCAGTGAAGGATCTTATACCAACATCAAGGTAGTGAAATATGTATCCTAATTCAAGCTTGATTCTTTGACTGTTGAGCAATGTTGAGCAGTCCAGTTCCAATGTCTGACGTAAACGTTTCTCAGTGTATTTGGAAAGTTCGTTAATACTATGTAATGCAACGATGCTGGTGTTTTGGTTTTGCAGGTGACAACGCCGGATGATTTATTACTTGCGGAAAGAATACTGAGTATGAACTCAGGAAAGTCTTCTCCTGAATAGTCTCCGTGTACTGATTTTGTGCTAGCGCTTGTAGTTTTGTTCTTCTTTCCTTTCCCTTGTGGAGGCCGAACTAAAGCCGAAAATTAATTTAAGTTCAAAAAATGGTCATTAAAGGGGATGAGATTTTTGTGCCACTGCTTCTAGTTTTGTTCTTCTTTCGTATAAATAAGTTGTATCATATTTATACAAGTGTAGTATCTATTAATGTGACTGTGCCCAAGGCCAAGTTATAAGAAAATACTGTGATTAATTGAAGCACGTTTCACCCGAAAGTGCTTATGTGTGTAATTAGAAGCTGAATATCATTCCTAATGAAATTGAAATTGAACTTGAATAATAATACCGTGTGCCAAGAGATGTTGACGATCAGAGTGGCATTGCCCTGTCCCTTTGCACCCGAGATCGGATCTCCTTTTCCTTAGTTGTGAATTTAGAGTAAATTATTAGTGTTATATAAAATTAAATATTAAAAGTCCCAACTAAACAATAAAATCAAAGATTTCAACCTACCCGTTTCATTTAAGAAACTGAATTCAAATGAAACGCCGGGGAGCGATTAGGGAGTGAACTTGCCATCGCCAGACTACTCCGTCCTCAGCCGAACCAAATGATCTGCTACTTCGCGCGCAGGTCCCTCCACGTGTCCCGAACACCCCACTGGAAGCTCCGGGACGAGTACAAGCTCACCCAGTTACACGACCGCATATCCCGCCTCCTCCTCCTCCAGCGCTACGACGCCCTTCACCAGCTCTCCTTTGATTTCTCCGACCGCCTCCTCAGCACCGTCCTCCGCCAACTGAAGCTCAACCCTGCCGCCTGCTTAGCCTTTTTCAAATTGGCTTCCAAGCAGCACAAGTACAGGCCCAACATCAAGTCTTACTGTATGATTGTTCATATCTTGTCCAGAGCTCGAATGCACGACCAAACCAGAGCGTATTTGAACGAACTGGTCCGTCTCTGCAGCAACCATTGTTCAGCATTCGTGGTCTGGGATGAGCTTGTTCGCGTTTACAGGGAATTTACGTTTTCGCCAACGGTTTTTGATATGGTTCTCAACGTGTTTGCTGAGAAGGGCATGACCAAGTATGCACTTCATGTGTTTGATAATATGGGTAAGTGCGGTCGAGTTCCTAGTCTGAGGTCTTGTAATTCATTGTTGAGTAATTTGGTCAGAAACGGTGAATGTTTCAATGCATTGCTTGTTTATGAGCAGATAAATAGGTTGGGGATTGTTCCCGATGTTTATACCTGTTCGATAATGGTGAATGCGTATTGTAAGGAAGGGAGGCTCAGTAGAGCGGTGGAGTTTGTCAAAGAGATGGAAAGTTTGGGTTTTGAATTAAATGTGGTGACTTATAATAGTCTGATTAATGGGTACATCAGTTCGGGAGATGTTGAAGGAGCCCGATTGGTGTTGGGGTTTATGTCTGAGAAAGGAATTGAGAGAAATGTGGTGAGTTATACACTGTTGATTAAGGGTTACTGCAAGCGGTGTAAGATGGAGGAAGCGGAGAAGGTGCTTCAAGGTATGAAGGAGGAGGGGGACAAGTCTGTGGTTGTGGATGAACGTGCTTATGGTGTCTTGTTAGATGGGTATTGTAAATCTGGCAGAATGGATGATGCTATTAGGATTCGGGATGAGATGTTGACCATGGGTTTAAGTATGAATATTTTCATTTGCAACTCCTTGATCAATGGGTACTGCAAGGTCGGTCAAGTTCGTGACGCGGAGGGAGTGTTGTTGCGGATGAGATATTGGAACTTAAACCCTGATTCATATAGTTATAATACTCTTATGGATGGGTATTGTAAGAAAGGTCAGACAAGTGATGCATTGAAGCTTTTTGATGAGATGCTTCAGGAAGGAATCCATCACACTGTTATAACTTATAATACACTTCTCAAGGGTTTATGTCAAGCGGGTGCTTTTGATGATGCCTTGCATCTTTGGCATCTAATGTTGAAAAGAGGGTTGGCTCCTGATGAGGTTAGCTATTGTTCTCTGCTTGATGCGGTTTTGAAGAAGGAAGATCTTGATGGGGCTATAACTCTGTGGAAAGATATTCTAGCAAAGGGTTTTACCAAAAGTAAGTTTGCTTTCAATACAATGATTAATGGGTTATGCAAGATGGGAAAAATGGTTGAAGCGGGAAAGGTTTTCGAAAAGATGAAGGAGCTAGGATGTTTACCTGATGAGATGACTTATAGAACCCTGAGTGATGGGTACTGTAAAATTGGGAACGTTGAAGAAGCTTTCAAAGTTAAGAGTTTGATGGAAGGGCAAGCAATACTTCCTTCCATTGAAATGTACAATTCTCTCATCAATGGTGTCTTTATGTCCAGGAAATTAAGTAAAGTGAATGGTCTTCTTGCTGAGATGCAGACAAGGGGATTAACCCCGGATATTGTTACATATGGAGCCCTGATCACTGGTTGGTGCAATGAAGGGATGCTGGATAAAGCTTTGAGTTCATATTTTGAGATGATTGACAAAGGGTTCACCACCAATTTAATTATTTGCAGCAAAGTTGTCAGTACTCTGTATAGGCTTGGTAGGATTGATGAAGGAAATAGTCTGTTGCAGAAGCTATTGGATTTTGATTTTTTTTCAGATCAGCAATGTTTTTCGAAGCTTTGCAAAGTTGGCAGTAGAAATCAAGAAATTCAAAAATTTGCAGATTCTCTTGATGAAAGTGCTGAAGGTTTCTCTCTGACCAACCCGGTTGTATACAATATTGCTATCTTGGGGCTCTGCAGATCAGGGAAAGTTGCTGATGCAAGGAGATTAATATCGTCGTTATTGCTCAATGGTATTTCTCCAGACAATTTTACATATTGCACTCTAATCAATGCCACTGCTGCTGCTGGTAATGTGACTGAGGCTTTCAACTTACGAGATGAAATGCTGAAGAGGGATCTTGTTCCTAACATTACCACATATAATGCTCTTATAAATGGCTTGTCCAAATCAGGAAATTTGGATAGAGCACAGAGGCTTTTCCGTAAACTTTACCGAAAGAAGTTAGTTCCTAATGATGTTACCTACAATATAATGATTGGTGGATACTGCAGAATTGGAAATACTGTGGAAGCGTTTAAATTTTGGAACGAGATGATTCGACAAGGGATTGCTCCCTCTGTTATCACTTACTCTGCATTGATCAATGGTCTTTATAAGCAAGGAAATTTGGAAGAATCTGTGAAGCTTTTGAGTCAACTGATCAAGGTGGGAGTGCAGCATAACCTTGTTAATTACATACTCCAGTTTGGTTCAAAGCATTGAATGAAGGGTGAGGGTAAGATATTAAACTTAAACATACGATGTGTCATAGCTGCTCCTCTGTGTTATTTCTCACCAAAGAAGCATTTATTAGCCTTAAAATACTGAAGGACAAATAAAAAATATATACAACTGGATCGGTGGTGTTTTGTCTTCAAGTTCACGGAATATTTAGACTCCTCATCTGTTGGAATTTAGAAAAAAAAACAGCTGCACAGGTACAAAGAATTTGGAATTTGGCTCTCAGTGTCAGCTCTGAGTTGTCAAGGTTGAGATGGTGCCTTGTGTTCTTGGGTTGGACCAGTGAGTCTTCTTCACACACAGACTTTTCAAGTTATAACCTCCGAATTCTAGCACTTTCAAATTCTAGCATTAGACTTGCAGGCAAGTCAACACCTAAGCTCTTCTCTTTTCATATCATTCAATTCAAAATAAAACATTGTTTGCTTAATTACCTATGTTTATCTTGTCTCAGGCCATCATTTCAGCTTCAGTTTCAGGCACAAGGCTAAGGTAGCTAGAATTGCAATCTCAACCTTCACTTGTTACTCTGCGAAGGTCGCCAATAATGATGTAAAATCTTCAAATTTACCTTTCTTTCTGTTCAATTATTATTTACAATTCAGTTATGGAGATGATGATTTTGATAATGCAGAAAGCAGAGGCTAGACTAGCGAAAGAGAAAAACGTATCGGTGATTCTTTTGGCTTGAGGGAAGGGCAGGATGAGGGTAAGTCTTGTTGGATACCATGTTTTTATCTCCCTATATTCCCCATTTGATCATCAAATTCTCATCTTCATGTACATTTGCCTGTGTATGAATGGAATATGAATTCAAATGCTATATCATCTTTAACTATGGCTTTTGTTGTTAATTCCAAGTCTACCAGATGACAATGCTTTTTTATATGTTTGTGCAACTAGGCCAGCATGCCAAAGCAATATCTTCCGTTGTTAGGTCAGCCAATTACATTGTGTACTGTGTGTTTGATGAGTTCCTTATGGATTATGGTTTAGGCGGTGCTACGTATCTTGACATATCACTGTTTGAGCTTTTTTTGGTCAAACAATAGATTTTGTTAGATTAGCCGCCGACGGGATTTGAACCCATGCCTTTGTGAAGGGCTCAACACCTTTCCACCACTGTGGTAAAGGGCCACTTGCACTGTTTGAAAATATTGAATACATGTTAATAGTCGGACGTAATGAAATTTTGACCTCAATATACCACTACTGATCTTTAACTTTTTTCTTATACTACTAGTTAGACCCTCTCTACTTGTTTCTCAATTGTACGGTAAAAGTAACCTTCTATTTCAGAAATGAGTTTACAATAATAGCCTTTCTCCTCTTACAAGAATCCTAGTTATAGTAACTAAGAAAATACTCAGCTACTAAGTAAACAGAGTACTCACCTTCTTGGTACAGATGCCGAGGCAGTGATTAGGGTGGTTAAGAATCTGAGGGTGTGCTGGGATTGGCATGCAGCTATCAATATGAGGGATAATAACAGGTTCCACTGTTGCAGTGATAGGGTATGTTCTTGCGGAGACTATTGGTAATGGGTTTTGTTAATTTGTCATTTTCATGCTAATGAGGACATACCAAATTGCTAATGCTCTGGGCAACTATGCCAACATGGCAACATGCCAAAGCAATATCTTTGGCTTTTAGGCCAGCCTATTGCATTTTACAGGTAGATTACTGCACTCTCATTCTCAGCAACCTAATTGGGGAACTTTTATGATTTAGGAGAGAAGCTTTGATACCAAGTAAGTTGTCCAACTAGTTGTGAACACCATGTATTAGATTGCCTTTAGAGTGTACAATGCTTTTTAATCATATCCCTTGAGAATTGAGATGGATGGATACTGTTTTGAATTGGATGAACAATGTTAAAACAAGGATTATAAAGTGAATGAAACTTTGTGCTTTAGACATGTTTTGCTCTCTTGCCTTGCCCTGCCCTCCTTGGAAATGCATTGGCTTTTGGCTGGTTGGTCATGTAATGTTCTGACACCCATACCTAAGATCCAGAAGGAAGTTAAATTCACAGTACCAGGTAAGGAAAGACGAAATTATTTCTTTTTCTGTCGTGAGTCAGGAATAATAAGAAAGTCTCCATAATTATACACAACAGGAGTGTCTATCATTTGTAAAGGTCTCTCTGTTGTTGCCTAAGGTTCAATCTATCTGATTTAAAATTATTATCAAGTCTCAGCAGATGTGCTTTTCCGGATGTTGCTGGAAGCAGTGTGCTGATGCTATTTCAGAAATGTTGCACTGCCCTCTTATATGTGATTTCTCTCTTTCTTCATTACCTATATCCATCACTGCATAGTTGTGTTCCCGTGAACAAACTTTCTAACGTCGCTCTTAGAACCCAAATGCATTTGAAAGTTGTGCTGAATGAGGAAAATAAACTTGTCATTTGGGTGTATATATTTGTTAGCACGCAACCAAGAAAGAAAAATGGCATCAATATCATATGTATATGTATGCTCATGAGTCATGATCACCCAAATAGATTTCTCCGCCTTGCACCAAATTTGAATAATATTTGATGCGAAATGGAATAAATAAAATAAAATATAAGAAATAATAATAATAGACAGATAGATTTCCAGGTAATTCCACGTTTTTTGCAAAGCTAGAGGGTAGGCCAGCGGAGCTAGCTCAACTCCTTTGACTTTGATTTAGTTTGAATTCAAAGTCCAACCAGCCAAGTAACACGTACGAAAGCAGCCCACCCACCTTCTTACTCTTTACTTACACACTTTTACAAAAGAAAAGTAAAAAATTAATTGGAGGCGTATAATCCGGAAAGGGAGCCTATCCGTCTAATCCCGATGAGATCCAATTCCGTCCAATCCGTATATAAATCGGACAAGAAAGAGAGAGAGAGAGAGGGAGAGGCCAGACACGAAATACGATATTGGAACAAGAAGAAAAAAGAGAGAGACAGAGAGTGGGCGCGCTTTCATGTGCAATCACGGAAAGCGAATGGAGTGGTGGGGTAGTAGTAGCACCAGTAATAGCAGGAAGAAGAAGAAGACGACGACGGAGACGACGACGTTGAGAAAGTTGGAAGAGCTTCCGCCCTACATGAAAGACAACGAGTACATATTGGACTATTACAGATGCGAGTGGCCCTTGAAGGATCTCTTGTTCAGCGTCTTTGCCTTCCACAACGAAACCCTCAACATCTGGACGTACGTACGCATCTCTCTCCCTCCCCCATTCATTTTCCCTCATTTATATATCGTCATCATCCTCTATTCAATTAACTCAATTACTTAGTTAATTCTGCCCAACTACCTGCAAATTAGTCATCATATTGAATTAATTAAGAAATTGGCCTACTTATAATTACTTGTGCTGCAGCCACTTGGTGGGGTTCTTCATATTCCTGGGACTGACGCTCATCACCTTGACGGACAACTACTCACTCACTGTTGCTGCTTTCTGTTTGGTGGGTAAATATGGCAGGGCTGTTGCGGTTCCTGGTCCGTTGATCAATGTCTCCTCCTCCTCGCACAATGTAAATGCATTTCTTCCTCGTTCGCCGGTCAGTCTCTTTTTTCTTTTTAAATATTATTTAACATTTGTTTTCGGGAGTTTTTATTTTTATTTTTATTTTTGGAAAAGTGAAGTTGGGAATAACTTTTGCCCTTCACGCGACCACGGAACCAAAATAAGTTTTTATTTTGGGTTTTTCTATAGGCTTCCATTTGTTTTCTGCTTTCTTATTCAATAAATTAGCCTTCTTACACACGTTCACTCACGTGCAAAAAATATTTTTTGAATCACGACATGTTATATATGATTTACATGTTTTAAATGTATTTATTGAATCATATTAGAGGAAACGTCTCATAAATCTTTCTATATAATTTAAATTAAGAATAAAAAATAATATTTAATAAACAATTAATTGAATTACATTATTGCTAACTTATCGTGAGACTAAGCTCACTCCCTCCTCTTAATATAGATAATATCGTTTGTTAAAAAAAAATTATTTAACAAATAATTTAATCACATTATTATTTGCGTGCGAAAGACATTTTTTATAAAGAAAATAATATTTGATAAAGAACTGATTGAATTACATTATTGTTAGCTTATTGTGAGGCTAAGTCCACATTTTCCTTTAATATAGATAATATCGTTTGTTTAAAAAAAAAAAAAAAGAATCATTTGACAATTTATTTAATCACATTATTATCTGCGTGCGAAAGTTTTTTTTTTTTTTTTTATTACACTTGTCTTAAGATGTTTTGAACACAATATTCATGATTTTCCTTATTTTTTATTATATTTTTCTTTCCCCTTCATGTGGACACCATCAACTTTCACTCATCCTTCTATTTTTTTTTTCTCTCTTCCCACTTAAACTCATATTATATTTTATCGAACCAAATTACCAAATTACCCCTGCATTACTTGATATATTATATCGAGCTACTTTTGGATTTTTTTGGTTGAGGGGCAATTTGATCCTATTATTTTTGTTGAACCCGTGACCCCAAATTAGGCCTCAGGCTTTATATATAGATAAAAAGAAATAAATAGGAAGCATTATTCGGGTTTAGTAGACTTCGAATCTCAAACCTTTTACGTATATTTATGAAGAGAAGTACCACATAAGAGAGTGCACACAAATACAATTAGTATTAGCAGATCAAAATGGTAAATACCGAAATAACCTAAAATGAACTATTTTACATTTATCGTATTGTTCTTTTTTTAAATTCATTATTATTGTTTTTCTAATTAATCATGTTTTGTAAAAGAAGACAAAAATAAATGTATCCTTGGTTAACTAGAATATTAGACCCAAAAAAAAAAAAAAAAAAAGTCAAATTGACCAAGGTTAAATTCATTATTAGTGCTTCCTGAAATTGCATAAGTTATTTAAAAGTGCTTTTAAACGTGTGCTTATATGTGTGGTCTTTTTGTAGTTTGGGAGGCAGGACTCAGAGAGACATGCATCATCAATCATTCATGCAAATGGGAATGCGAGTGCGAACCAAGAAGTTGATTACGATGGTATTCTACTTCCAATGTGGCCGTGGTATGTGTTCCTAAGCGGGGCTATGGGATGCTTGGTTTGCAGCTCCCTTTCCCACCTCTTCGCTTGTCACTCTAAACGCTTCAATTTTTTCTTCTGGCGCCTAGACTATGCCGGCATCTCTCTTATGATCGTCTCTTCTTTCTTTGCACCCATTTACTATGCCTTCTCCTGCAACCCTTACTCTCGCTTTTTCTACCTTTCTTCCATATCTCTGCTCGGGATCCTTGTCATCGTTACCCTTCTTTCCTCTAGTCTCTCTGCACCCCGTTTCCGCTCTTTTAGGGCTACCCTTTTCCTCTCGATGGGCTTCTCCGGAGTCATTCCTGTGCTTCATGCCCTAGTTATCCATTGGGGTCATCAACATATAATCGTTGCTCTGGCTTATGAACTTGCTATGGCCATTTTATATGCTTCAGGAGCAGCATTCTATGTGATTAGGATACCAGAACGGTGGAAGCCGGGCAAGTTTGATGTTGTAGGGCACAGCCATCAGATCTTCCACGTCTTTGTTGTGCTAGGCGCACTTGCACATAGCGCTGCTACTCTGGTTGTTATGGATTTTCGCCGAGGATCACCAACGTGTTCATATTAGGCGGCATTTACGCTGGCAACGTACTGGTGAGGGGTACAGCCGTTGTGGCACCACACGAGGGTTTGTATTAGTTTGTTTAGCTTTGCGTATTAGTAAGAGAATGGCTGCACGCAACGCATGTTTACTCGAAAATGTTGTACTTACTTTTAACATCCATAATTGATTGACTGATTGTACTTACATTATGGAATGAATGCGATCGAGTGGTGCATGCGAATTAATTAAATAGTACCTGAGTACAGCATGCAAAAGTGTTGGTGTTACATTTGAACTGCATCTCAGACACAGTCCTATGTTCTGAATTGTATCAGACACAGTCCTATGTGCGATTTTGAACTGCATCAGACAGTCCTATGTTCTGAATTGTGCAAAGACAGAGATACCTTTCATCATCACACAACTTCAAAAGAAATAAAATAAAAGAAACCGAGTCAACGTCCCTTTTTACTCTTTGGTAAACAAAACACCTCTCTTCAGTTCATCCGCGATTCAGTGTAGAGCCCCACCCCCACCCCGCCTTCCTCAGTCAGAAGGGGATAAGCATGCAACTGCGCTCGCTCATTACTTGCTCAATCAAGAGAAACTGCATAATCAAAGACTGACCTTTCCAGCCACACTAGGAGATCCTTACGTTGGAGCACCTCTTGTTTGTAACAACCAAAGCCTTCACTCCCGACTCAGCACAGCAATTTCTTAAAAACATGATACAAATGTGGCACATCCACTCATTCCCCAAACTTTGGTACATCAGTAACCAAGCCAAATCCTCCAGCACAACTAGATTTCTTGGAGAAACTTACCCGAAAAGCAGCATTCACAGTTACTCCACGACTGCACAAAGAACTCGCTCAACATCTGTGCTTTCTTATAAAACACGTTATTGTACAAGTACTACTAAAACATAAAACTAGCCAAGAAAATTAGAAAACAGCAAGGACAACAAAGCATGTAAGCTGCACTGCAAACAGCACGTAATCATGCATAAATAAACACGTCCACTAAATGCATCAAACATCAAACCAGGAGACTGCACGGACATATTTATAGCTTACTATTCATATTAGAAACAAATTCCTGAGAAAATTTGACAGAACAATAGCAAGGAGTAGCAAAACTTAGAAGAATCCCATTTGCAATCATTCAAATTCATCAACTAAGATAGACAACTGACTCTGTTTTACTCCAAATTGTAATGATAGTTGTAAACCCTCATCTGCTTTCTTTGATTGGTGTTTCTTCTCCACATTCGGAACCTACATTTAAACTCTAGCCCTCTTGCTACTGCAACTTGGGCACTTGTACTGCTTGATATGCTCAGCCTTTGCGGGTGTAATTTTCACACATTTTCCATGGAACCATCTTTCGCACACATCACAGCAAATCCAGAACTCATCAGCCCCATAATTGTCTCCACATGCCCCGCAAGTCGCACCTTGTTCATCATCTTCTTCTTCTTCCCCGCTTTCATCCTCCTCTTTGGGCAGCGGAGACATTTTCACTCCTTTGCTCTGCAGGGGCTCAGACTGCCGAGACTGCTTAAAGGCAGCACCAACAAAGAAAGAGCTAGGATTAATTATAACGTGAAAACAAAGGCTAAAGAAGGAAGATGTATAAACAGAAAATCAAAATCATATCATGCAAACTAGTCCACTGCTTACCACCTTTCCACCGGATCTGTTCTTGCTACTGTTGTTGGGAGGAGTAGACTGGTCTTTTGGTTGCTTAGCATTTCCTGTCACAACTTCAAATATGGTGGGGAGATCATTTATCATCTGAAAAAGCCTCTTCCTGCAAGTTTCAAAGCCAAATGAAATTAGAACCACCTTCATATGATATTATCCACTAAAGCTTCAGACAAACTTAGCTCCTATCACTTGGCTTTTGCAGAAAGGGTATATTTCCTTATTCTACAGCATGAACGGCTCTACTCTGACATTCTCAACCCCATCAATAACAAAGAAATCCACTCGTCCAACACCTTAGGGATTAGATACAACTGGTACTGAATTGAAACTATTAATCATAAAATTATTAAGTTGACATTATAATTTTGCAAGTCAACTTTAATCTCAATAATTTATTCATCTGCAATCAGTTCCCACACCACCGACCCAAGAAAAAGAAGTTTGCACAACATTTCTTTATGGCATTCTCAATCTCCAGGATATCTTCAGAATACCCATAATCACCAAGCAAACAAGATTGTAGACAATAGCCAAACATCACAGACGTATGATAAGGTAAATAATTCATAACAATGCAGACATCAAACTATGTGTCTTCACTCTTCAGACAAGATTCAAGGCTAGGCCTGTAAGGTATCCAGAAGAATATTCAATGACAGTCAGCCAAAAAATGAGGAAAATTAATTGGAAGTATACGGAGTAAGATTATCTGAAATCAGTATCGATATAGTTACACAAATTAACTAAACCCCCAAGTTCCCTGCACATAGAGGAATACATACCTGTACATACACATCTACACACACACACACACACACACACACACACACACATGCTCGTATATCTCGAGATATCATAAAACAATTGTAATTTAAGGATTTTCAGGTAGCCAAGCAATGAAATCTCTCAGACAGTGGTCTCTGAGAAGGTCAAGCCAAATTGAATCCCAGCCACCAATTTCCTATAGGGTAATGCTAGGGAGACCAAGTATTTAGACCAAATTTCGTAGACCATTGTGGTTGTTGACGATTGGATTATTACTTAAGTGTTGATTAACGTGCTTATTTCCTATTGGTGACACATTACATTGCTTGTAAATTTGGCCTAAAATGTTGATCTACATAGCATTACTCTTTCCTATATCATAAGAAATTAAATCTCTTCTCAACAGAAGAAAAAACCATAAATGTCATCAGGTACAGATAAAAATACCATAACTATCTCTTCTCAATTCGTCTATCATTCTCGCATGTCAGCACTCGTCTAATGCAGGTAGATCATGGCCTAAAGGTGAGCTACTTAGATATGAAGACAGGAAAGCCTTGAAAATTACTAAAAGAAAAAAGATAGAAGCCTTCATAAATGAAAGGACAGTGAGGCTTATTCTAAGCAGTTTGGTTGCAGAACTGCAGAAGGGTTGTTTGAAAATTCCAATTATCGATTGTTAAAACCCTTTTAGCATCCTGAATCAAAAGGGGCAAAAGAGGCAGCTGATTGCTCCACGAACATAATTTTTCACCTACTACAACCAGGAATACTTAATTAGGCCAAGGAATACGGTGCAACCTTTCTAGACCATGCAATAAAGAAATTCCCTGGCTTCCAATGCAGCCTAAAAGAGGCCTTGCAGTGGTGCAAGTGAAAAAAGCACCACCTAAAGTGTATGCAGATATCTTATATTAAACGACGTTCCTGTGCAACAAAGAGCAGAATATTAGAAAGCAGAAAGGGACCTCCAATTTCATCTGCTTGAACACTGTCCATGCAAGAAATCTATCAGTATTGCTACATACCTAGCATTAGTTGATTCTTCAACATAATCAAATGCTAGTATTTAACGGATAGGCTATATAAACCATGAGGATAGCAAACAAATGATAAGCATCTTCCTTGGAATAGCCTAGAAGAAAAAGAACGAGGTAGAAAACTAGGTTTTTTTATAAGTATATGCATTAAATTTATGAATTAGCTTTAAAGAGAACTTCTTGAACTTCTTTACTTTAACCAGCCAGATAATGTCATACGTGGATAAAGTAACTTATTCAAACATGCATACAGAATATGTAAACAGCTGAGCACATCATATGCAAGGTAACTATCAATAATAAGATACCACAACCTGCAGGAACTGATGCTAAAAAGACATATAGTAATCAGTTGATAGATATGTCAACAGAAAGTGCTGACTCAATGTTTCATATGGCAGGTAAATCTTTTCTCTACTGCTTTTCAAAACTGCCATTAGAGGTTGTAATATGGAGATTTAAAAATAATAATAATAATAAATTGGGGCTCTAGCAACTTTTGTTAAAGTAGAATATATTCTGTAAGAACTACACCAAACAACAGCGTGATCTCTGTACTACAGACTTTGGATAAATTTTTAAACAAAGTTTCAATATGCTTGCAGAAGAAGAACTAAGGATGAATAATTATATTCAATACTAGGTGCTACATAGAAATATTACATATGATAACAAAAAGAAGATAACTCATCAATACAGCCTGTGCATTTCCCAATTGATAATAGGATATGTTTAAGAGGTGAGTTGTTTTAAATAAAATTTTACAATATAGATTACACAAATACAGAGGAAAACCAAGTTCGTACCTTTCATTCTTACCAAAACCAAAGCGTGCACCAAAATAGAATGCAACAGCAAGCAACCATGAATCACTGTGAACTGCAACCAGTGACAACCAGTCCTTCTCCTGCATCCCATCCCTAGCAAAGTTTATACCTAATGCTGGCTCGGGAAGTTCAGGAGGAACCTCCTCAACAGGCAGGTTAACTTCCCATGTCTCATTTGGTAGTCCATATAGACACAAGTTCTCCTTCTCTGCAAGCACAACATATGTTAAAAGAAACAGACAAAAGGAAAGACAATCTATCTTAACCGCGTTGTAACTTGTAAGTGACTCCACATCCATCAAATACTATTTTGGTTATGTGTTCAACTATAAATTAAAAGAGAAATATAGAATGAATTTTCATTCAAACTTGAAGAAAAGAGGCAAACTTGATAATTATCAAAACTTATTTATTAATTTAATCAATATTTAATAACTCCAATGTCCAAATACATGAGGTAAGGAAAGGGCATAAATTGGTCCAAAAGAAAAGGAAAATTCTTGTTTCTGCTCAGCATCCAATAAGAAAGCATGACGCAGAAAGATCCACTGAAAAATTAAATGTCAACGCTAATGTAACCAAATGAAAAAAAGAGAAAAACACAACAAAAATAACAGTGAACCCCAACCTCAAAGGTGGAAAATTCTCCTCCAATGATCTAATAATTGATTTACGGGCCATGAACTTAGTTCCCTGATTGGAGATCAACTTGAAAAGTAGGTACTCCATCTATACAGAAACCCATCCAAAAAGCAAGATAAATCTCAAATACATACTTTTGGACTTAAGTTTATAGAACATTTGCAATACCATAGCAAGAAGTCAAACAACCTAAAGCAACCAGGAAATTTATAGCATTTTCCTTTCGCACCGTCGCTCCACAACAGTAGGCCAGTGTAATGGGTCTCGGAGGTCATAAAATTCAATGCACCGTCGAACAGGTTAATTTTGGTAAGTAAACTTCTTATTATAAAGAATGGTGCCTTAGCCTCTATATACCAAAATGGGGTATTTTAGTAACCGAAAGCGGGCATATGATGTTTTGTGTTTAAAGTGCTGCACAAGAGGAGTTACTTCATATATATTTTACTTTGGTATACAGCACAAAACACAGCTGAAATGATTGGGTATTTTTATCCATGCTCATGGTGCAGCAAATTCACGTTATAAATCAAGTTCAACAGTTAGAAATTACAACAAACAAACATATGAATGGAAAAGAACCACAAAGATGGTCCCTTTACTCAAAAGAAAGAGTACATAAACGTAAAAAAAAAGAAAAAGAAAAGAGAACTCACCAGGATCGCACAGTTGATAAAATTTCTGAACGTCTACAAAAATGAACCAAAAAATTTAGTAAAACCATGAAAGGAAATTCACATACGAAAGTAGAGAGAGATGCAAAAGAATTAAGAGGTTAAAAATAACAAAAAATGAGAAGCGGGCAAACCATTGGTGAGGGCCTTAATCAAGCCGGCGCGTCTGCCTCTGAAGTCGCTGAAGACTTCCTCCACTGTTCGAGGTATTGGGTGCGGTATGCCCTCCATTATGCTATCTCTGCCTCAATTTCAATTTCTTCAATCTCAATCTCAATCTCAACTGCTACCTATTGGAGAGAAATGGGTCGCCCGGGAGAATCAGAGGGACATGGTGGTGGAATTGAATTGGATTTTTTTTCTTCTGATTAGGAAATTAGGGTTTGCTGGTCTGGTGAATTGGGAATTCTAATTATTTGTTGCTGTTGATAAATAAATTTTAATTTTGTTTCAGACGCCAAAAAGGTGTTGCAAGCAAGCGGAGACAGAATCGAAGAGAAATATAAATATATGAGTCGGACTCGGATTAGGATGGGAGGATTTAAGGAAGGGTTGATATTTCATATTTGGGTGGGTTTTACTTGCAAATTTGCAATGCTAGTGGTAAGGGCCCGTTTGGCTATGTTTCCGAAAACACTTTCTTGTTCCCGAAAACAGCTTTTCATTTTTATCAAACAAATGGTCCATAACGTTTTAGAAACTCATCAACTTTTGTCTCTCAAATGATTCCACACGGAGATTACCGCAACGAGAACAACTAATCATGTTTATCCACGTTAGTGTGAGTTCAATTTTCACTTTTTTTTTTCTTCCTTATAACTAACTATTTAACTTATTATTGCTATTGCTTGCAAAAAAAAAAAAAAAAAAGGTTTCAAATTGATTAAAAAAATGTAGCCCTTCGAGTATGCTCTTGACACCATCTTGTTAAAAACAGTTTTTCAGCCACAAATTTAAAATTCTTGTTTGGTAAGCCTATTTCAAAAGTCCAAACTTATGAGATACTAAAAAACAACCTATTTCTTTGAGAAGACAAAAAATGTGTTTTTACAGTTAATTTTTTTTCTTTCAGTTGTGGAATTGTCCTCCAACCCAAAAAAAATCCCAGAGTACAAAATCTAGTTATACATTCGATCCACCTCTTGTTGTAATTAAACTTCCGTACCTTCATATATAGATTTAAGAACCATCACCAGTAACATGCAAAAGAAAGTAGAGATCGTAAACAACCTATGCACCGGCATGGTACCGGTCAAGGTTTCTCTGACAATCAAGTCAATAGGAGTGTCTTTAAAACTTAGATAGTAGGCTCAAGAACGATAGTATGATGTGGGATCATAATTTTCTGAGACTGGAGTAAAGGCTAAACGGATCAACGATGCCACCACATCTAGTTGGGTTCCAAAATGGTAGGCGAACCAGCAAGCCTCGTTGAGATCAACCATACTTGCTCTGCAAGATACAAAAACCTGATCTAACTAAGGATCATATTGGTTTCTTGTATTTTTGGAGATTCATACAATCTAGAAATTGGCATGTGCCGCACGCTCGCAAGTAATTACAATCCTCAAATGAAGCAATTTGTTTATGCTAAATATCTTTAGGATTCTTTCGATTTAATACAAATTCTATATCCTGAAAGGACTCTCTTCTGACTATTATAAATACACTCATCTAGGACTCATCTATGGTAAAACACATATCACACACTTCAGTCTCTTGCCTACTGCTTATGTTATAAGATTTTATCCAAACTTGACCTTCGGAGATCCTTTAGCGGTACCACACCCAGCACCTTTAGTTAACTATGGTTGTTTGTTCTTGTCCGTAGGTGGCCGTTCTCGCATTCTTTATGATCAGCAGTGGTGCAAAATTTTAGTTCCAACATATGTGATACATTTGATATGAACCCTATGGGGTTTATATATACTAGTTAAAGAATACTCCTAATAACTTTTAAGAACAGTAATCTTTAGTCAACCAGGTGAATCCTAGAGGAAATCTTTTCCTCTTAGGATGATGATTGCTTGAGACGCATGTCAATCTCGTTACAATAAGAATTTTTAAATACTCGAGGGATTTCCCTAATCAAGTTTTGATTAGGTTTTCCTTTCATGGAGGATAAGTAGATCTTTCTTGATGAAAAGAATCTCGCCTACCAATTCGGAGCGTACCAGAGTAATTTGCTCCAACAATTTGGTCCGGTGAACTTGATCCAGTTTGAATCACCCACACCGGAGTTTACTAGCCACTCCGGGCACTCCAGATGCTGCATCCGAGACTTCAAAAAAACAGTCTCACACCTCTGTCTCTCTCTCGCTCTTTTCGTTGTTGTACCCTTACAAGTCAATGCAACAAGATCTCGTAGATTAATGGTGGATTCAGAGTTAGGGGAGAAATTAGGTCGTGTGTGAGTGCCAATGGATCTTGTAAGTGAATTAGCGCTAAGGAAAAAAGGGAGGTCGTGGCAAAGGGGAAGTTGGAAAAAAATGGAGTTCAGGAGAAATGGCTTAATATGGGAGGTTGAGAGAAGAGGAAAGGTACGATGGGAGTTCTTTGTGGGTGTAGGTATTTTTTTTATTTTTTATTTTTGGAAACTCATAAGATTTAAAAATAATTTTCATTTTTATACCAGATAGTTTTTATTTAAAATTTTCTAATAAAAACATATCTTTTTACAAAAAATAATATTTTTTAAGTTAGAGTTTCTAAGTAGCATATCAAACAGGTCTAATATTCTTGAGTTAGGGAGTGAACTAAGATTTAGAACATGTTTAGTATCAATTAATATTTTGTCCAAACAAAACTATACATCATCCAGATGAGGTTATCCGATTTTACGTACAATATGGAACACATAAATATAAATACACAACACAAGTAATCAAGTCTTATTTTAGAAAAAAAAAAAAATCAGCCATCATACTTTATGTTGAGCAAAAATTGCAAAATCTTTCTTGAATGAGCCTTCACCAAACATATTTCCACTCTTGTTATAAAATTAATTAATCGTATGACTGTAAGATTTCTTATGGGGCCTTCAAATAAGTTTAGAATTTCCAATCCAATTGAGCTTATAAATTGTTGTGCACGACAACTTCAATTACACATCCAAAAAATGCTCAATAACACTTAACCGGCGGCCATACATAGCAAGGCTAGAGTTTTCGCTCAAGTGTAAGCTCTTTACAAAGGACTTTAAGTCTCTTGCCTTGTTTAGGGCTTTAGTGTTTCATTCTTGTAGAGAGAACATCTCTCCTCTTCCTTTAAGACACTAATGTTGAGAAGAAGCTGCTAGCATCATTGTCTCCTCAAGATTCATCATCTTCTTTGAAATCAACGTGTGGAGATTTAGATCTCATCTCCCTGGGTGACTTTTCGAGAATCATTTCATGGTTCAAAGCAAGTATAGAGAAACTTTGATTGGTGACATTTTATCCAAGGTGTAGGGTTTGGTTTTAGAACCAAAGTGTGGATTTTGATTAAATGATTTTACTCCCTTGTCTCTTTAGAAACTAGATTCGTTATGCCTTGAAGATAATGAGAAAATCATTTTGTTTTATAAATATATGATGATCTAGCTTTTGTTGCCTAACCTTTGTTAAAAGCATGAGTTATTCAAATAACACCTTAATTATTTCAAAAAATTTCCTTCACATGTTATCCAAACTCACCAAAGACGATCAAGCATTCATACAAGGCTTTACTGAATGCAATGCCAATAGTGTAGAAAGACAGACCCAAAGAGGGAAGATCACGTTAAATCGGGATAAGAAAAACGCCTCTATGAGGAGGGGAAACAACCGCTTAACATTGTGGAAGACCAAAGAAGGTCCAGATGCCTCATATCCACCAGCATGGCCAAAGCACGAACAATAAACAAAACCACCAAGATTATTAGCATCTCCTCTTCGCCTTGTTCTATGATAGAGCTTCCATACCAAGCCCAAGATCTACCAATATCAACTAAGAGCACCAAAGAGAAGACCCTAAAACAACTATGGAACGAAAAGCAAAACCTTGCAAATGCAAGGAAAATATAAAAACTAGCCCAAAAGACTAGGGGAAAAAGCTCTCCACAAGATTTCAACTTAAATTCAGTCTCTAAATAAATTGAGTGCAATCTAATTATCTGTAATGATTAAAAGAAAAATGTATTTTGATGATGTAGTTCTTATGGCGCAAAAATACTAATAAAGCTGGAAAATACTGATAAGGGCGGAAAATGGTGAGTAATAATGTCTAATAACGTGTAAATATTGTCTTTTAAATTACATAGACGTGTGAAATTCAATGTGTGCCGTTGAAAGTTAAGGATGACATCTAGCCCGTTGAAACATGAGTGCTTATTTTTCTTTGTTATGAGGGTACGGTTTATGGCTTCTCTTGACTATGTGTAATTTCTTCTTGTTTTATTTAATAAAATCTCATCTCGTACTGTTGGAATTTCTCATTAAAAATGATTTCTCGTTAGTAAAATATATCATCTCACCTTGTACCCCTTTTAATAACACGCGCTATCATGCCTTCTCTGCTTCATTAAATGGAGAGATTTTTCATTGTGACTGGTATACAGGATGGTACACCACGTGTCATTATACAAATGGTGGAATATGTGTGCTAAAAAGTTAATAACTTAAAAAATAAAATTTCCCATCATTTATATTAAAACACGTGGTGTACTACTTGTATTCCAGTCACAAAAAAATTTCTCCATTAAATGAATGCGTTCAATGACGCATATTGGGTGTGATAGAAGGACTTTTCTGTTGTCGTGACATTTTGGCCAAGAAATGTACAAAGAACTAGAGAGGCCAACAACTAATTAGGTCACGTGAAGAACTAGAAGCATTGTTTTGTATTTATGCTGGGGCCTGGGCATTGTGCAAGGGTAGTGCTACACTCGTTTTTACTTTTTACATATCCTTTTTAATTTTTTGTTTTCGAATCTAATGTATTGAAGAAAATCAATGGTAAAAAATTAACAAAAATGTGTGAGAAGTAAAACTAGAAGTGTGAATAATACTTTCCAATACCACAAAGCTAGCTAGTGTGGCAAAACCATCATACCCATGGACCTCTTTGAACTAGTTTCTCTAACAACAAGAGAATAAATTATATGACACCAGTACATCGTTACAGTGACTTTTTAATTCCAATCATGTAATAATATGTGGAGAAACCTTAAAACATATTATTGCATTATTATCATGAAAAGTCATTATAAAAGTGTAACCGTGTCATATTAATATTTTTCCTCAAACAATCCACGAAAGCCGAGCTCAGCATGACGCGTACTTGCCCGCAAAGTTGCACACATGCGATGCACGCCTCATTGACTTGTCAGAGACATAGAAGTAATAATTAATATTCCAACCTACTAATTCACAGATATACCCTAAAATATGAAGCCCTAGGAATCCCATTGAGAATGCTGGCTATTGAATACTGGTGCCTACCCCCCTCTCCCATGCTTCGAATGTAGTGTGCGTGTACCGTGAAAGAAGGTCTGCACCCAGCTTCCTGTATATATCACATGAAGAACAATACATCGATGCACCCCTAAAGTCTAAGAAATTATTATAATATGACGAATATTGCCGGCTTG